ATGTCTTGCACCATGAGCACAATCTTTGCTGTTATCTGAGTAATGATTTCTGATTTCATTTTTCCAAGATCCTCTTTTGTTGCCAGTTCAGAGAGTCCAGGTGTTTGAGTATCAGATTGTTCCATCTCGTTTCCTTTTGGGGTTGCTGTAGATGATCCAGAAGTCTGTTTTTGAGGCTTGTTTACGTGTCTTCTCATTTCCAGGGTGTGTGTGTCTGTGCTTCTGGTGCCTGCGTGGCTCACCTTCTCTGCCCTAGGAGCCTGGGATGGTGGCGGGGGAGCTTCCTTCCGGTTGCTGGGACCGGCTTAGCTTCTCTGCCCTAGGAGCTTGGGCCTGGCTTGGGCAATTTAACAACTTAGCAAAACTCTCTTGAAATAAACAAGAAATGGGCTGGGGATATAGCTCAGTATAAAGGCCCTGGGTTTGTGTGTTTCATATTTTGAAAATCTCTTTAATGTGGAGCTTCACAGATGGCTGATGGGTCCTTGTGTCCTCTCAGTTGGGTGCAACATTGTGTTGTGTTGCTTTTGGAAACTCCAATATGCATTCAGGAGAGAATGAGTTAAAAAGGTAACTCCTTATTATAGTCAGGATTTTGGCAAGGGAGTACATTTAATACAGGACACATAATTTATAGGATTATTTTATGATATTTACCCAAAAAGTCAAATATAGAGGAGGGCAAGAGATTAGTCACATACTAGAGACCTAAAGAATCCAGCCAGGGCCTGGATTCCACAGCAATGTCCTGCACAAATCTGGCTGAAGGCCTAAAGTCCAAGGCAATGTTCTTTACGAGTCCAGCCAGAGACCTAGAGCCCACAGCAATATCTCATGCTTGTCCATATTGAGGATCTGCACCCAGAAGGCTCAAAGGCCAGTGGTGGAAGCCAGAAGACCTGCACAGGTGGAGTGAAGGATTTGTGCCAACAGGCTTCGGGATCTGCACTGGAGCTGGGAAGGGATGCTCACAGTGAAGATCAGAGGTCCCCTGAAGAGAACAGCAGCCACTCCCAGCGAGAATGAGGTCCTAAGCTCCTCCTCCAACTAGAACAGCCAAGTTTGCATCAGGTAAACCAGTCACAGCAAGCTTCCCCTATAAAATCAACAGCCCATGAGCTTCCCTTCCAGTTTTCTTTTTACGGCTATTGACAACAATCCTCAGGTGGTTCTTCCATTCCCAGCCACGCTCATTCAGTTCAGCTGGGCATTACAAGTTGGCCAGTAATTAATCCACCACTCTCCCCTTTTAGTAGTAGTGTGGAAGTGGTTTTGATTTCATGGACGCCCTGAAAGGACCTCCTAGGATCTTCAGCCCATACCTCAGATCCACCATCAGTATTCTCACTAAAGTAAACATTTAATGTTTACTTGGCTTATAAGCAATTTATGTGGCTTGCCCTCTGTTATGGACTAATGTTTATGTTCTCTCCAAAATTCAAATGCTGAAATCCTAACCCGCAATGTGATGATACTAGGAGGCAAGGCCTCTGGTACTGTGATCAGGAAGGTGGAGCTTTCACAAATGGGATTAACATCCTTATAAAAGAGACCTCAGCGAACTCTCTTGGCTTCTTTCTGACTCATGAGGATGCAATGAGAAGTTAGCAGACTGCAGTCCCAAAGTGGCCCCACCACACCTTGATCATAGTAGTACTTTGTCCTCTGACTTCCAGCCTCCAGAACTGTGAGTTTTGTGTCAGTTTTCTGTTGTTTATAAGTCACCTGGTCTATGGTACTTTGCTGTTGCAGCCCAAAGGGACTCAGACACTTCCTTAGTATGTGTAGAGGTGTTGTGGCACAGCGGAACAGCTCAGTGTTACAGCCAAGTGCTACAGCTACAGCAGTGTGAAGACTTGAAAATCCAAAAGTTACTGGGAGAAATGGAGAAAAACCTCTTATTAGCCAGCTGGCTCAGAGGAGTTTGCCCACTGTGAATTCAGAGCCCAGAGTTGCAGTTTATATACAATTGGAAAAGGAAGTTGAGAGGAACCTTTTAGGGCAGAGATGTAGCTAGAAGCGGGAAACTTGGGTAGAAGTATCAGGTACTAACAGTTACACTGAATAGAACACTTTTGATACATTGAGCAGGTGTATCACACAGCACAATCACAGAACATTTTGATACACTGGGCAGGAACACGGTGCAGGCCCAACAGTCACATTTCTGGGACAGAACATCTTATTGGAAAAAAAAACATGGGCGGGGGAAGCAAAGGCAAAGGCCCGTCCTATTGCGCATTATTGTTTCATCAGAAGCAGAGTTATAAGATGGCCCCATTTCCTGCTCCTCGTGTGCATCTCCCCTGCTCCCCGTGAATGTGAAGGAATAGTTACTCCCATGATTGGGTTATAGCTAGGACACAGTAGATTTTAAGACTGGGTGATCACTGTGGTTGGACTTGACCTGACCGGGTCCCGTTAGAAGGTTGCAGCCCTCTCTAGAAGGACAGACTGATGCAGCACAGAGTCTTTGGTGCTGGCTTTGAAGATGGAGGTGGCCACATGGCAGCACTTGCAGGCAGCTTCCAGGAACTGATTGCTCTTGGCTGTCAGCAAGGAAATGGGACCTCAGTCCTAGGGCCACAAGGTGGCCAGCAACTGAATGAGCTTGGAAATGGTTCTTCCTCGAGGAAGGAATTCAGCCTGATTCAGCCATGCCATGACTGAACTTTGCATTTACAGACCTGTGAGATGATAAACAAGTGTTGTTTTAAGCCACTTTGTTACACAGCACTAAAACCCAATACTGTGTGTATTGTTTTAATGTTATATTTAAATTTCACAAATAATTATAAATAATCCTCCCTGTTTAAAGTGGAAACTACCAAGAAACCAAGTTTCCTTTGACCCCTTTTCCCTATCCCAGCCAATCCTGGGCCCTTCCCCACTCTTCTTTTTAGGGGTAGCCACTCTGTTGGGTATGAATCCTCCCAGACCTTTTTTCTATGCATTTTTGTGGATGTATTTTTCTTTAACTTTAGAAATGCAATGAACATTATAGCTGGGCCAATCTCCTAAAAATAAGGCAACAACAATCTGAAATAATGTTCTAGAGCAGGTTCTTTATCTCCCATGAGGCATTTTGACCCACTCTAATGCTCTTAGATCTAAACTTAACCTGGTTGTTTGGGGTAGTGGTGTAGAATGGTATCTGGGGTTCCACCAGCTGAGACCTTTAATGGCTCATTTGCCCCTGCCTCATCTACTCCTGGAAAAACAAAAGTAGCTATGTCTTTAACGTGCTATGTCAAAACATCTCACAGAATTGCCAGTTCACCCCTGAGTTGATGGCAACGAGCAGGTGTGACCCTTCCAGAAACAAACCCGTGGCACATACCTACACTGTCCCTGCAGCCAGGACAGAGCTCCTTAGCATGTGTGGCACACAGTGCCAGCATGTACAGGGGGGTACCTGGCCAAAAAAGTAGCGCCCTTGTCAAGCTTCTGGTAAAACCACCAGAAGCAGCTCTTCCGACATGTCTTTGATGACAAGCGCTCAGAAAGAAGCTCCTTTGCCAAGCAAGCTTGTCCTCCAGAGCCACAGGACAATGGGGCACAAGGCTCTGTGTAATCATCATTGGTGGTTCGGTGGTAGAATTCACAAGGCTCTGTGTAGAAAGTGCACATGTTGTGGGTTCCGTAGAGAGGGAAACCTCGGCAGGGACCTATCCTATGGTATGTCCTCACCAGACCTTGAGCTCCCTGACAGTACAGCGGCCCTGACATTTCCGAACAGCAGACGGACCCTTTTACTGCTTGGCCTTTTGTGATGCTGACTTTGGCAGGCAAACTTTGCTTCTCTGTTTGCTAAGAGTGGCAGGAACCCCACCAGCTCACAGATCCTTGGCCACAGTGAGTCCGTCCACAGGCCTTACACTTGCTGTCTCCTTGAGAAGGCCATACCCACCCACGTGACTCCCAGCCCAATGGGTTCTCCATGCTTCCTGGCTACCAGACAGAGCCATCCCACGCCTGGGAGAGCTGTGTGTAGGGACAGAGGTCTGCCCTGGGGGCCCCAGCCTTGGCCCCGTGATGCAGTGCAGGAGCTACCGCTGATTGCGTTCTTTCCTGTGTTTGTGAGCGGACAGTTCAGTTTCCTTTTCTGAGAAGTCTTCAGCAGGTAGATGTAGTTCCCCAAGTTCCCCAAAGGGACAAACGTGCTTTGGGTATAGGGGTTTGAGCGGTCCCAGATCTGGTCCAGGGTCACTGAGTTTGGCTCCTAAAGGTGACTTCAGAGCGTGGACAAACCCCCAACTTAACAGCAGGCCTCGGCAGCAGGGGAGGGAGCGTGCTCCCCCAACCGCGTCCAGTGGCTCGTGACCTTCGGGGCGCCCTGTTACAGCGGGGTGGGCTCTCCTGTCTCAGCACCCCAGCGATTTTGAGGGAGCTGGGGTTTGTGTGACGAGCCCTGGGCGATTGGGATGGCCCGGTATGGGCGGCCCGGACGGGACGGGGGCGGAGCGGGCAGCGCTGCGCTGACGGCCTCGGCAGAAAGGGGGCGGCCGCGCCCATTTCCTCCGCCCAGCGCCGCCGCGGCCCGAGCGATCTGCAGCGGGAGCGGCGCCTCCGACCGAGCTAGCGCCGGCCGCGACCCCTCGGGGCGCACGGCCACCCACATGGACGCGGCGCTGAAGCGGAGCCGCTCGGAGGAGCCGGCCGAGCTGCCGCCGGCCCGGGACGTGGAGGAGGAGGAGGAAGAGGGGATGGAGCAGGGGCTGGAGGAGGAGGAGGAGGTGGACCCCCGGATACAGGTAGGGCGCGCGGGGCGCCCGCACCCCGACTCAGCGAGGGCTGCCGCGGAGGTCGGCGTGTTCGCGTGACCGGGCTTCGCAGTGTCCGCCGTCCGGGGGTGAAAGCCCCGTGGGTCGAGGAGCGCAAAGCGGGGCTCAGCGCACCCCACTCCGCGCCCCGGCCGGGGGGAGGCTGCGGCGCCCGCGTGGACGCGGCCTGGCTGCACTGCGGGGACCCCCGCAACCGCGCGGGACCGGGGTCGCTGCTGCGTGCGGGCGGCTGAGCGGGTGTGCAACAAAGAGAAGAGGGCGGGGGCCGGCGGAGTCGGGGCCGGGGCCGGGGCGTCCCGGTGGCGAGTGGCCCGACTGGGCCCGGGGCCGGGGGTGAGGGCGAGGGCGTCAAGTCCCGCAGCTCCAGCCGGCAGCGGGGCGCCGCTCCAGCCCGAGCCGCCTCCTCCCGCGACTCATTGTTAGCACGCGAGGGCTTCCCGTTCCGCACGGCCTGAAACGGTTTAAAACCCTGCGTTTTTCCTTGTGGTGTGGTCGGGAATGAACAGAAATCGGGGACAGCTGATGCGCAAAACTGACGCGCAAAACTGACGCGTGGAGGCGGCGAGGGAATGGCCTGGCTTTCTGTGCCTCCATTTCCAAGAGAGATGATTAAAAAACGATTTCCAGACCGAGCTGTAGGAATGACAGCTTAACCTCTTCACCCTACTGTGCAAGAAGCACAGCCAAGGTCCATTTTTCTACTTCCATAAATCATTTTTTTAAAAAAACAACACTGCTTTTAAGCATTCCCTGCAATTTCTGGGACCCTAATTGGTTTTTAGTGCACAGATCAATTAAAGCACACTTAACTCGCAGGTTGAGGTTTAAATGAATTGTTTCAGCAGATTGGTAAGATAAAGATCAGGTGGGAAAATATCTGCATTAGAAATTACTGTTAATTAAAATCATCAGTAAAAAAATAAAATCATTAGTTTGGACTATGAAATCTAACGTTCTTGGTATGGAATTTTGTTAACAAGATCCTTTGTTTGCAGAGTAAAGAGTTAACTTCACTTTGGGTCCTCCATACAGAATGTCATTTTCTAAATGTTTAGAGGATTGGAATTAAAGCTAGTTTAAAAAATTAAGCCAGGTAGGTTGAGTAATTTGCAGTTGGAAAAAAAGTTTTTCATCTCTTTAGAGGGAGATACTCAACTACTGATGAATTCATACTAGAAGTTTGCCCTTTATTTAAATGATTTCCCTGGGTTTATACTTTTGGCTTGGTCTTGCTTACTGCTTCAAGTCAAATGGTACTCTTTGATTTGGTTTCCGAAACTATTCATAACAATTAAGTTTATCTTGAAGACATGTACCTGGAATAGACATTTGACCTTCCAAAGAAAGACAAGTCCCTGGGACTTTAAAAGACAGTGGTAGGAAAGCAAAGTATAAACAAAAATATTTAAGAAATGTTGATAGTTTGCTGTTACAGCCAAGCTTCCACTCTTCCTTGAGAGGACTCTCCTCCTCCTGCGATTTGGGGTGGGGTGACTTTAGGTTACAGACTAAGTTACACTGGAAACAGAAGTGATCCTTTAAATCTCTTTTCTCCCTTCCTCCCTAGGGTGAACTGGAGAAGCTAAATCAATCCACTGATGATATCAACAGGCGGGAGACTGAACTTGAGGTACAGAGAGCAGGGTCCCTGTTCTTGAAGTGACAGGACTGGGGCTGGTGGGAGCCCCCCTTGGGAGTTGAGCAACAGCATGTCTCTGTCAATGGAGTACATTATGAGCCCAGCCTGTGGGCGGAACACACACGGATCCAATTTCACTTGTTTTCATTATGGAAGCTCCTTGGGGCCAAACCCAGGGTTGTACGGAGCATTACACAACATATAAGCCCAAATTTCAGTGTATCTGTGCAAAAGCTGAAAGGGCTGAGGGGAAAATTAGCTGAACTCTCTAATGGAAAAGAATGAATGAGCTCACAGAAGCTCTTAAATATTTTAGGGCGGCTCCTTCCAGTCATGCTTGGGACTGTTCGAATATCAATGTTTTGCTTTCCTGTCCTCATAATTCACACCCCCTTTCCACTTGCCTGCCCCTTTCTTTATTGCTTGCTTTTGCTTGGAACATAATTATCTTAATGGTAACAAAAGGATGTTTAAACTTGGGAAGAGCTTTCCTGCTGGGAAAAATGTTGGGGGATAGGAGCCTGATTTGAATTTCAGGAGCATTTTCCAACTTGAGCATAAGCAAGTCAGCGTTCTTCACACTGCCAGTTAGTCTCCACCCCTTTTTTGTATGGTTGGATTTATCCACCAGCAAATGTGAACAACCGAAGTTTACATCTGGGAACCTGTGAATGACTGACAGGACTGAGGAAAAGCAGGGAGCTGTTGGGGGAACTTGTTTCTACGGTAGGAGAAGTGGCAAGAAAGGCTAATGGAAAGTCTCCTGGGAGTTCTGTGGTCCCTAATGCCTGTGTAGCCATGGAAGCTGCATCCAGCCAAGTGGATCAACAGGTTTGTTGCTCTGAGCTATGTGAAGGGTTCTCCCTAACCCACATTCTGATAGATCCTAGGAATCCATGAATACTGGCTGTCCTTCTCTCTCCAAGGAAAGTAAAAACTGTGGCTTGTTTAATTTATTTTCAGTTTTAATAAATTAAGCCTCTTGTGTGTGGAGTGGGGGCTGGGGGATTGAACCAAGGGCCTTCACACTGGGCTACCTCACCCCCTTTTAAAAAAATATACTGTGAGACAAGGAATTGCTGTATTGCCCAGTATGGCCTCCAATTTATGATCTTCCTGCCTCAGCCTTCTAAAGTGCTGGGATTACAGGTATGCACCAGCACTCCTGATTTATTCAAACTTCTCAGAATCTCAGATTTCTAACACTCGAAGCAACAAAACCTCTGTTACTCCTCTAGCACATTAGTATTTACAAAATGGTTTTTTTTGTTTTTGTACTGGAGTTTGAACCTAGCGCCTTGGGCATGGTAGGTAAGCACTGAAGCAGTGAACTATACTCTCACCCTTATAAAATGTCTTTTACAAGCCTTTTCTTATTCCATCCTGTCATAATAGCCCAGAGCAGTGCAGTTCAATAAGGTAGCCACGTGCAAAACACGACATTTAAGTTAAAATTTAATGAGTCTAGAAGTTCAAGGTAGCCCTTTTTTTTTTTGATACTGATGATTGAACCTAGAGACTAGCACTAGCTCCAGCTCCAGCCCATCTTTTTAAATTTTGAGACCAGGACTTGATAAATTGCCCAGACTGGCCTGAAACGTGTGATCCTCCTGCCCTGGCCTCCTGAGCTGCTGGGCCTGCAGACATGCGTACTGCACTCAGGAGCGCAGTAATTACTGGGCAGATCAGGGAAGACCTGTGCCATGGCAGGAGTTTCTGTGGGCCTGAAGTGGTAGGGCTGCTTCCTTCCAGGTGAAAAACTCAGTGTCTCATGTTCAATGATGCAGAGAGGTGGATCGCCGATCCCAGTCCCAGGCATTTTCCAAACCCACCGTGCAGTTCTTGTTTTCTACCATCCCAAATGTGAGTAGACAAGTTGGAAATAATTTTTTTTTTTTAATAATGCCTACTATATACTGGCTACTAATCTGGGTAATGAACAAGATGGCCCCATGTTTCAGCCCTCAATGATGCCGAGATTCAGGGGATTAAACAGGCTCAACTGAGTCAACTCTTATTAGCCCTGACTTCTGAATTCCACTTGTGAATGCACTTAGGTATTCATATGTCACAGAAAGCCACCGGACAGGCGTTTCCTGTCTGGCTGTGGAGAGCATTTGGAACTCCTTGTGGGACGAGCCGGAGGGTGTACGGAAGGCAGCTGGGACTGGACCGTGTGCTGGCTGACCTTCTCATGGTGCTATTGTAACCAAGACTCACTTAGAGAAATATGGTATACGAGCCACGAAGTAATTAAAGACACCCTAGTGGACACATTCAAAATTTAAAAAGAAATAGCTGAAATTAATTGTAATATATTTTGTTCAACCCAGAATATCTGAGATAGTATAATTCAATATGGAGTCCATAGAAGAGTTATGAAGGAGAGGACTAGGAATGTAGCCCAGTGGTAGAGTGTTTGCCTAGCATGAGCAAGATCCTGGTTTTGATCCCCAGCACCACCAGAAAAAGAAAAAAAGACTCCACGTGTTTGTGTACTAAACAAGATTTATGCGTATTTCATACTTAGAGCACATTTCCCATAGGACCGTCACATTTTGAGAACTCAGTAACATATGCCCTGGGCAGCCCAGATGTAACAGGTGTTTCTAGTCGAGCTCCCCATTGTGCTGGTGGAGCCTGGAGCAGAGGATCTCATGTATCTGTTGGCAGTGACTGTGATTCTTCAGGTATACCCTGGCCAGCAGCTTGTGTCAGACGCCCTGTTGGCCACTGCAAATTCCCCGGCTGAACCAGAGAGGAGGAGACCTTGGCCTTAAGCAGTTGCCATTTTAGTTGGGGCGGGAGTAGAGAGGTAGATGATAATTAGAGAAGGAGAGTGATATGATGAGAACACTTGAGCAGAAGCCTGCGGGAGGACAGTGTCCGTGTGAAAAGGATGGTAGAAGGAGCGAGCACCTGGCTGTGGTCGAAGGGCGTATGCTAACGGATGTGGGACAGAAAAATGAACCATTTTAGTATAGAGCCCACTTGGTATCTGCAGTAGTTGTGTTGTATAAAGCTGTAGCTACTGAGTTAGCAAATACTGAACCATTGCTCTTAGGGGAAATACAGAGTTCTCAAAAGCCCTGATCATAACATTTTTACCAATATATAACCTTGTTTTTACTTAAGCATACCTACTATGTGTTATATATTATTGACTCACATTGAACTTGTGGTGACTACTACCTAACATCATTTCTCCATAAGCGCCATCACAGCCTTCCTGTGCTCAGGAACAGTAGATAGTACTACCTCTACAGGCCATTTTTTTTTGGTACCGGGGATCGAACTCAGGACCTTGCACTTGGGAGGCAGGCGGCGGAGCCACTGAGCTAAATACCCAGCCCCTACAGGCCATTTTTTAACAGCAAAAATTGCCAAATCCCCAAAAGGCTGAAAAACATGACTCTAAATAGATCCTGAAAAGGATACTTGTTTACTGGATGAGCACGGAGGCAGGGAGGCGGAGCTTGGGTTGGTTTGCTGTCAGCTGGTCTAGTGAGTGACTCAAAATTTTCTCTGTTCTGAGGGAACTAGAAAGTGTCTGGGTGTTGATTTGGGGGTTATGTATAAATTGTAGTGAGTAGACAAATTTTCACATGTGGAATCTACAGATAGTGGGGATTGACTGTACTTCCAGGGCCCCCATCTGTACTTTGCTGTCCTCTTTCTCTTTGCCTTTTGTTATGCACTGGGGTGTTCAGCACCTCTCCTCACTCTGAGCAAACCATACTAGTGACCAGATTGCAGGAGTTGCTAAGCTGTTCACAGAACAAGGCACAATGTAGTTGTCTGTGCAGCCATTGGCCGGGAAGCTGCTCCTGGTTTTATGTTTTGTGTCCCATTCCTTGACTTGTGTGTTTCAATTGGAGATGGACAGGAAGGCCTCTAGGTTTGCCCCGACCTTATTTGAGCAGTGCTGGGTCCCTTTGCAGTCTGACTTCTGTCAGAGAGCCAGTCTTCTTGAGCTGTTGAGGGGAAGTACCTTTTAACCAGAGAGGCTTTTGAATGTTTCAGATTAAGAAAATAAATGCATTTTCCCCAGGCATATTGATTATTTAGCTTTGATTTTTCACCAAGTGTTCATTGAACACCTATTATATGCCAGGGGCAGTTTGGACAGAAGTCCCTGCCCTTCCAAGCCTTACAGAAAGGGAGGAAATGGAACAAACAGTTAAAATCCAAAGTAGGTCATGTGGTCCTGTATGCTAAGGAGAAAAGGCCATAGTGGGACTAGGTTGTGGGGATTTGAGTACAGAGGGAGTGCGAGGAACAGTGTTATACAGTGTGGACCCCAAACTGATGCTGCAAAAAACAACCTTGAGGTCGTGTGTGGAAGGGTGTTTGGGCCAGAAGGAAGGGCTGGTGTAAGGTGGGAGTGTGGCCAGGCCCCGCTGAGGGCCTGCAAGGGAGGACAGTCGGTAAGCGGTGGACGGGAGAGGAAGGCGTGAGTCAGAGAAAAAAGGGTCGTTCCTGTGTGTGGCACCTCTGCCAGGTAAGATAATAGAGGCAGTGTGCTGATGTAACTAAGAATGCACAGTACAGAGAGCAGTCTTCTTTCAAATGTTTGTTAAAACAGATGCCATGCAGAGACTTCTAAGATTTGCAACACTCCATGCCACTGTTATTCTCTTTTTAATTAGCACATGTTTGCAATACATAATGTCTGCATTCCTCGTGTGGGATTGGTACCTCTACATAGCATATCTTAATTCCTTTTTTCTTTTTTTATCTTGAATTTTATTTTACACTTTTTTTATTAGTACGTGTTTGCAGTTTGCACAGTTTACAGTTGTTTTAGGGAGTGGTTAACTGTACATATTACAGCTTTTTTTTCCTAATCCCCTCCCCCCCATTTTCCCTCTCACTATTTACATATTTGTTGTTATTTCTTTCTTTCTTTATTTATTTATTTAAATTTAATTTTATTTTTTTTGGTACCAGGGATCGAACTCGGGACCTTGAGCTTGTGAGGCAGGCGCCAG